CCCTAGCCATCAGGGAAATGCAGATCAAAACCACAATGAGGTTTCACCTCACTCCAGTTAGATTGGCTTACATACAGAAATCAACCAACAACAGATGCTGGCGAGGATGTGGGGAAAAAGGGACACTAAGCCACTGTTGGTGGGAATGCAAACTGGTAAAGCCACTATGGAAGACAGTTTGGAGAGTCCTCAGAAACCTGAATATAGCACTACCACAGGACCCAGCCATCCCACTCCTTGGAATTTACCCAAATGGAATTAAAGGGGAGAAAAAAAGAGCCATTTGCACCTCAATATTTGTTGCAGCTCAATTCACAATAGCTAAGACATGGAATCAACCTAAATGTCCATCAACGGATGACTGGATAAAGAAACTATGGGATATGTACTCTATGGAACACTATACAGCAGTAAAAAACAATGAAATCCGGGCATTTACAACAAAATAGAGGAAGCTGGAAAACATCATGCTGAGTGAAATAAGCCAGTCCAAAAGGGACAAATATCATATGTTCTCCCTGATCGATGGCAACTAAATGAGCACCTAAAATGATACCCATTGAACTGAAATGGACACTGTGAGAGACAATGACGTGAGCAGCCCTTGTCTAGACTGTTGAGGAACAACTTGCTATTTTATTCCTTTTAGTATTTTTGTTGTTGTTGTTGCTCTGTTTGTTCTACATAAGACCACTGGTTGAACTCTGTAATCAATGCACAATCATTCTTACGCGTTTAAAATTAACAGAAAAGTGATCTCTGTGAAACATAGGAGTGGGAATAAGAGAGGGAAGAGATATATAGGACGGCACATACTCACTCGGACTTACCTCCAATGGTGGAACTAGAAATGTGCCAGGGGATTTCAACTCAATCTTACCAAGGAGGCAGGTACCGATGCCAGCGCACTTGGTAAAGTGATAAGTATAAATACACAACCGATCAAAAAGATAGGGTATGTGTCGATGAGATTTCACAAATAAGACCAGTGTAAGCAAATAATGAAGGATAGAATTAAAAGGAAGAGAATGATCCTGCGGGGGAAACAGGACACGCAGCAGACTCATAGAATGGCAGCACTCCTGCCTCAGAATTAACCCTTGGGACATTCAGATCTGGCTAAAAGGTCCAAGAGAGTCTCACAGGCATGGAAAGCCATGACACGGTGGCAAAAAAACAATCTAAATGAAAGATCCTGGTGAACAAGACCCCAGCAGAAGGAACAGGCCATCAAGGAGAGAGGCGCCTTTCTCTGAAGGGAGGAAGGAACCTCCACTGTGATACGGCCTTGACTAAACAAGTTCAGAGTCGAACTCAAGGGGCTTCCATAGCCTAGACAGCTCATAGCAAGAGTCTCAGGCGATTGCTCACATCATAAACAAGAGTGCCAATTGTTAAATCAACAATGGGAGTCACTGGGTACATGCTCCCCACGTAGGATCTCTGTCCTTAATGTGTTTTACTATGAAACTTAAAAACAATACTACTAGTCTAACAATACCCTATACCTTGTGCAGTTGTGTGAGTACAGCCTGTTGAAATCCTTGCTTAGTGTATACTAAGTTGATCTTCTGTATATGAAGGTAATTGAAAATGAAACTTGATGAAGGGTGGGATGGGACAGGGAGTGGGAGAGGGGAGGGCTACGGGAGGGAGGGAGGTTGGAGGGGGGGAAGCCACAACAATATAAAAGTTGCACTTTGTAAATTCACATTTATTAAATAAAAAAATAACTATATAACAAACAAAAAAAGAAAGAAAAAAGAACTTAATACTTTACCCTTTTAGTATTTTTTATGTTCTACTTAAAACTATTGGTTGAACTCTGTAATTAATACACAATTACTCTTAGGTGTTTAATTAATGCTATAACCAGTACTCAAATAGTATTTTACACTTTGTGTTTCTGTGTGGGTGCAAACTGTTGAAATCTTTACTTAATATATGCTGAATTGATCTTCTGTATATAAAGATAATTGAAAATTAATCTTGATGTGAATGGAAGGGGAGAGGGAGTGGGAGAGGGGAGTGTTGTGGGTGGGAGGGAAGTTATGGGGGGGGAAGCTATTGTAATCCATAAGCTGTACTTTGGAAATTTATATTCATAAAATAAAATAAAATAAAATAAAATAAAAAGAATTAAGTGCCTCGTGTATTTGGTCAAAATGATCTTTGAAAAGGGTGCCAAGACCACTCAATGGGAAAACAATAGTCTGTTCAACAAATGGTGTCAGAAAAATTGGATATCTACACGCAAAAGAATGAACGGGAAAATGAACTCAGAATGGATCAAAGACCCAAATGTAAAGCCTAAAATTATAAAACTCCTAGGATAAAATATAGAGGAAAAGATTAAAGACATTGGATTTCAGTAATGATTTCTTTTTAAAAAATGTGCTTATTTATTTGAAAGGCAGAGTTTTAGAGAGAGAGAGAGAGAGAGGAACAGAGAGAGAGAGATCGTCCATCCACTGATTCACTCCCCAAATGGCCTCAACGAGTCAGGCCTGGATCAGGCCAAAGCAGGAGCATTTTCCAGGTCTCCTTCATGCGTGAAGGGGACCCAAGCACTTGGGCCATCCTCCGTTGCTTTCTCAGACCATTAGCAGGGAGCTGGATTAGGAGTGGAGCAGCTGGGACTCGAACCAGCACTCATATAGATGCCAGTGTCACAGGTAGCGGGTTAACCCACTGTGCCACAACACCAGCGCCCATTAATGATTTATTGGGTATGGCATTCAAAACAAATAACAAACGTGAACACAGACACATGGGATTGCTTCAAACTTTAAAATTCTATACGCCAAAGTACACAATCACATAACAGATTGAATACACAAACCATGAAATGGGAAGAAACATTTATAAATCAAGTTTCTGACAAAGCATAAATAACCAGAATATATAAAGAACTTGTATAACTCAACACAACAAAAACACCAATAACCAGATTTTTTTCAAATGAGCAAAGGAGTTGAATAGATGTTTCTTGGAAGATGATGTACAAAGGACCAAGAAGTATATGAAAAATGCTCAATATCACTAATCATAAGAGAAATGCAATTCAAAGTCACGGTGAGCTGCCACCTCACACACCACACACAAGGATGACTTAAATAAAAAAAAATAAAATTAAGAAAATAGCCAGTGTTGGTGAAGATGTTGAGAAACTGAAACCCTTGTGCACTATCGAAAGGAATGCAAAATAGTACAACCACTATAGAAAGCAGTATAGCAGTTCCTCAAAGCAATTAAAAATAGAGCCATCATGTGATCCAACAATCCCACTTCTAGGAATATATACCGAAAGGACCTGAAAGCAAGGTCTCAAAGACAATTACACATTCACATCCATAGAAGTAGTATTCACAAAAGCCCAGTGGAGGAGGCAACCTAAATGCCTATTAGATGAATGGAGAAGTAAAATGTAATATAGCCACACAATAGAATATCATTCAGCCTTACAAAGGAAGGAAGTGCTGACACATGCTACAACATGGGGTGGGGTGAGAACCATCTTTTCCTAATTTGCACGCAGGTACATTTGGCCTAACCATAGCTGTGCAGGAATCATCAAACTCTTCTTCCATTTTAACAATTATACCCATCTCCCCCTCTATAATTTAGCTATAATTTTAGCCGCTTTTCAGTTGGTTAAAATGCCTACCTCATTACAGTTTGTTTCTGTTACATTCAGCCTAATTTATTTTCGATCTTTTTCTAATTTTTTCCTCACTGTTTCCTACTTGTAAACACAAAAAAAGTCTGAGAGAGGAGGTTTCACTTTAGCCTCCATTTCACAGGCACTTTAACTAACGTGACAGATCCTGAAGAACTGTATGCATGACAGAGAAAGACTGAAAGGACACTGTTCTCTGAGTTGGGCAAGAACTTCCTGGTAGCAGAAATGAACTTGTAAATCTACATGATTAGGCAAGAAGACAACCATAAACACTCAGGGACCTTGTGACCCACATGTGATCTGTAGATCATCACCTTTTAATCTATGGAACAAATTTGTCAAAAAATTAAAAAAAAAAAAACTGTAAATAAAGTTACAGAAAGTTAGGTGTGGCCCAAGGCAGATGGTGATCTATCTGTTGGGAAAAGTTTTGTGGGACCCTTGAGGATGGGGCTTTAAGGAGAATGAATTGCATGGGGAAATCAATCAGGTAACTTAGGGGCCAGCGCTGTGGCTCACTTGGTTAATCCTCCGCCTGCAGTGCTGGCATCCCATATGGGCGCCAGACAGTGGAGGATGGCCCAAGTGCTTCGGTCCCTGCACCCGCATGGGAGACCAGGAGAAGCACCTGGCTCCTGGCTTCGGATTGGCGCAGCAACGGCCTTGGCGGCCATTTGGGGAGTGAACCAACGGAAGGAAGACCTTTCTCTCTGTCTCTCTCTCTCTCACTGTCTATAACTCTGTCAAATAAATTTTAAAAACATTTTTAAAAAATCAGGTAATTTAGTATAGGGGCTTGGAATTGAGACCACCAGTTCTCCCCACTTCTTATTCTGCCTTATCTATCATAGAAGACACAATATTTATTTATTTATTTATTTATTTCACTCATTTGCCATACTGACAGTGCAAATACAAATCTGGTCTAAATGTATAGACTCTCAAGCAACAATGTATAGCTTTCTTCATCCTCTATGCTGAGATGTAAAAGCTTAAGGGCCAAACAATACCAAATGTATAGGCTTCAAAAACCATCTAAGTTAGGGCATTCACTAGTTTTAGCTAACATACATCTGGAACACTGACAAGTGATCACTTACATAGAATAATGTGAAGTGAATTTTTTGAAAAATAAACTTTAGTGGAACACTCCTGAAGGATACACCAGAGGAATAGCCGGTTATCAGTTTAAGGTGTCAGCCAATTTGTTTCAGCCATGTTTGAGTCCATGTTCTAAACTCTAAAATTTACTTATCTTTCCCTAAGCTGAGCACTTCCTATCATGTCAGTATCTATGTTATGAAGAAGTAAAGGAGACTTAAGTGAAATGTTTTTATTTATCACAACTGCTGTATCAGTTATCTAGGACCTCAACAGCTTCATGAAGTCTGGGAAATGTTCACGCATAAGGTTATTGCCTTAGCTGACTTAAAACTGCCCCTTACAATGATACATATCAACCCTTAGTGAAGCCTTTTAAAAAAACAAATAGGTTGAAAAATGGGTTAAAGGTGGCAAATACAGCATCCACCTTTAGAGCTATCAACTCAGGAATTCTCTCAATTATGAAATTTTGCAGAGAAATCACTTTCTCAAAATCCAGGTGATGACAATACTCCTTATTCCAGATATGGCATTTTTTCATCATCACTGTCTTGTGAATCATCATCTGCTCCATCTACTTCTGGCAAATCTACATCCTCATCACCACCCATGTTGTTCATCATCTCAGAGAAACGATCAAAATTAGACATGTCTTCATCTGAATCATCTTCCCAGTCTTTCCAATTACTGAAGTCCACACTAAGCCAATTGAGCTTTGCCCTTTGTTTTGTTAACCTTGGCCATGACTGGCCAGATTCTCCTTTTCGTAAACAACATAAAATTGATCTGTCCGTTCTTTTGTGCTTGGAATCATTTGGATCAATACAATGAAAAAGGTCAATTTCATTTAAATGCTTAAAATGATCACGTCCTCCAAGACAACTGAATGTAAGTTTGGATTTTTCAAAATTTACATTCACATCTTTACTGTCTTCAACACAGAATTCAATGAAGACATAGTCCCTTCGATCATACCACTTTGCAGAAGCAGGCTGCATTGTGAACGGGGCAGGGGGTGGGCGGGCCTCGCTGGCGGCGGCGGTGGCTGGGGAGTCGACTTTCCTCCGGCGGCGACTCCGGCGTTTTCTGCCCGGTCGCGGCCTCTCCTTGCTGCTCTCAGGCGGCGGCGGCGACGGCGGCGGCGGCGGGCTCGACCTGGGTCCCCAGAATGCACCGCGCGGCGCGAGCGGCTCCTCCGGTCGGGGAGAAGAGGAAAGTGTAGGAAAAGGGGCGCGAGGACGGAGGAGGAACGTGCGTGCGTGCGTGCGTGCGTGCGAGCGAGGGGTGGTCACAACATTTATTAATGCAGCCATTTTTTAGTCAGAAGTACACTGAGAAATGTAATCATCACCCCAAACTGGAGCTATTCAACTTGCGGATATTGTCAAAACTCGGCCTGCCGTGGTTTGGTCCTGAGAGCTGCCCTACCTGGTTAAAAAATTCCCGACTCTGCCCCAACACAAGACCTTCATGGAGAAGAGGCCCTGGCCATAGGGAATCAGGAAGCCAAGCTGTTTCTGGTAACAGAGCCATTTATTTGTGGAGGATTTGGGGTGAAGTTGTAAGTTGAATTTAAATTTAGGCAGATAATGTATTAGATAATGTGTTAGTATTCTCATTGGCAGTTTTTTTTTTGTTTTTTTTTTTTTTTCCTTGAGTGGCAGAGAGACAGGGAGAGAGAGAAAGTGAGCTCCCATCCACTGGTTCACTCCCCAGATGCTCACAACATCCCGGCTGCAACCAGAATCCAGGAATGCCATCCCGGCCTCCCACATGGGTGGCAGGAACTCAACCACTTGAGCCATCACTACCCCTCCCAGGGTTTACATTGGCAGGAAGCAGAGCCAGGAGCAGAGCCAGGAGCAGAGCCAGGGATATAGGATGTGGGTGTCTGAACTAGCATCTTAACCACTGGATCAAATGCTCACCCCCTAGTATCTACTTTCAATGCTCAAATACAAGAAATGTCATCCCAATTTCATTTGGGAACACACAGCTTTAAAGGTAAGACACATACGTTTGAGGTCTTACCCCTATGGAAATGATTCGTGTTTAAAGGTATTTAGGTGAAAAGTATAACTTGGGATTTGTAAAGATTTCCTAATGTCTGTTTCTGCCAGAAAAGAAAGCTGAACAGCTCATAAAACGAGTCGAGGAATTCATCCTCTCTCCATAAATGGGTTTCATCCCAAGCTAGTGCATTGTGTGTTCCTGCTGTGCTCACATTCGTCACTTCTTTCTGGTTACATAGACACACTGACATGACCATCAGTGAATGTGTGTGTGTGCACAGCTAATTAACTAGTCCAAAAAATGCCAAGTCAACAGGGCACGTGTTTAGCTGTTTAGCCTTGTGGTTGACACCTACATCCTATATTGGAGTACCTGGGTACCTGAGCTCCTGACTCTAGCTTCCTCTAATGCAGGCCCTGGGAGGCAGTGGTGATGGCTCAAGTAATTGGGTTCCTGCCACCTATCTGCAAGACCTGGATTGAGTTCTCCGATCCTTGCTCAGCCCAGCCCAATCCAGGCCATTGTGGGCATTTGTGGAGTGAACCACATTTACTTCATAAGGCCGTGAGGACTAAATGAGTTAACACATGGAACTTATGTAAACACATACAGTAAATGCTGTCAAAGAACACTAGCTTTTATTACTTTTTAAATTCCAGAATTCTACAGCCCTTTTGGTTTGGACATGACTTAGTCCTGAAGAATCATATGGAATAATAGATAGGAAATATTTAAGTGCTTAGGTCTTAGAAGTACTCCCGAGTATCTACTATGATAACAGAAAGTCAAATTAATTACACTCTCAATTAACATTATCTAAGTCTTTCCTTGCGAAATAAAATAAGAGAGCAATACCTTCTGGGGTGGAGGAAGCAAGAACATGGCTTTTGACTCAAACTCAAAATGGGGGTTAAGACAGCTCTAGCAACAGATAAGAGACTCCCCAAGTAAAAAGAAGTCTTAGGTACTCCTGACATTGAACCATTCTAGATATTCTGCAAAAGTGTTTCTTCATCCCTGTGCCAGTTGCTCTATTTTGTAATACAGAGAATGCAAACACACACTTCATGAGTGTGTTTTGGAATTAGTTTATTATCTGACCATTTTATCATTAATGCACTCTCTATGGCGTTATTGACACATGGCTGTCTTTCAGATTTCCTGACTTGTGCAGAGCTCAGAAAAGTAGTCCTGCCTTCATTCCACCTGAAGTCCTTCCTTTCTGATCAAAGCATCTTCACTGCATTTGTAGGATTAGCTTTGAGGATTCCTTCAGTGACTCTTTGATCAAAGGCCTTAATAATTTTTAAAAAATGTATTATAAGTTTAGTATTTCCTAAAAGTATTCTGGGTTCAAATAAGTTGACATGCATCTTGAACCTTGCCTCTTTGTTAGCTGCTTGATCCAGCTCTTACATGGGGAGATGGGACTAAAAAGACTCACAACACTGGGTTGGGCTACCCTGGAAGGAGGCCATACTGTTCTCTGAAGTTGGGTACGCTGATTGGAAGATAGGGTCACATTGGACTAGTTCCCCCCCGAGGCTGGCACCATGCTTGCTCCCTAGCACTATTTGTTGAATGAATGAAGTTTTGGAAAACTCTCCAGCGAATCTGGGCATTCTCCCCCAACTGAAACCTTTTTAACAGATTATTTAAGTGCTAACCCGTAGTGAAACATCCTCTCCATAGTTAGCCTCTGGTTAAGAGCTAAGTTATCTTTACCAAGAACAGGTGAAACAACGTCCACGAGGTATTTTTCCGTTGAGTGGTGTGGAAAAGGACGTTTTCTTTTCATAAATCAAGAACCTGCACATAATTTTGCTCCTGGTTACCCAGAGTGTGTTTAACTGGGACTGAATTTTTAAATTGTTTCAAATTGAATTTTAAATAGTAATTAGGGTCTAGTGACACTATGGCTTGAGGAAAGCTATGATACACGTATGTTTCAGGGCAAGCATTTATATGTCTCTGGAAAGGGTTGGAAAGATCTCCTTCACTCACAAGGACAGTTGTTTCATTTGGATGGGGGTAGGAGAGTTCAGGGGAAGCAAATCAAGGTATTAAAGTGTGGTAGAAATGATGTGATTTTAATTTTGGATCATGCTGGCAGATGCATGAAAGATGAACTATGGTGGGGAGTACGCAGAACTGGGGACAGAGACCAATTACCTTAGTGGCAATAGTGCAGGCAAGAGAATATGAGGCCCTGGGGCTGGTGAGAGTGGCAGGGGCTGAGGGGGGTCCACAAGATTGTCAGTCCATGGATATGGTCACAAAGAGGAGGGCAAAAGCAAGCCCAAGTTCCCAGTTTCTTACTGAAATGCGTGCTCTTCACTGAATAGGTAATTTAGGGGGAAAGCAAGTATCAGGGAAGAAATGATGCCACTCTTTGAGATGGCTGAAGTGCTTGGGTCTTCTGTTCAATGGATACTTGCATATGTACATAGGCAACATAAAAGAGGGTCAAGGGTGCAAAATAAAGTAACAGTGGCCAGAGGAACTGAGTAACATGAGAAGGGCAGGCAAGGAAATATGCAAGATGAGGACCATCACAATTTAATGAGACAGGTGAGGAAGACAGGCCTACAAAGGAGTCCAGAAAGAGAAATCAGAGAGGCAGTGAAGAACCAGGAGAGAACAGAATCTCAGATGTCCAGGGAGTGATGCGTTGTTTTTGTTTTTATTGTTAAAAATTTATTATTATTATTTTTTTAGAGAGAGAGAGGGAGAGAAAACTCCCATCCACTGGCTCATTCCCCAAATGCCTATGTAAGCTGAGGCTGGGCCAGGCCAATGCTGGGAGCTGGAAACTCAACCCAGGTCTTCCACTATGGTGGCAGGAGTCCAAATGCTTGAGCCAGTACCTGCTGCCTTTCAGGGTGTGCATTAGCAGGAAGCAGGAAGCAGAAGTGGAGCGAGAACTCAAACCTAGTCACTCTGATAATGGGATGCAGGTGTTAACCAATGTCTTTACCACTAGGCTAAATGCCTTTGAGCCTTTCATTTTTAAAGACAGGAGGAAATGGAGTAGAAGGCAACAATTATCACAATTTAAATTTGTTTAAATTCATATTCCATTATGTCTGTGTGGCCCTGTAGAGAGTGAGATCTTCCATGTGCTGATTCACTCCCCAGATGCCCATAATAGTCAGGCCTAGATTAGGCTGAAGCTAGCCATCTGGAACTCAGTTCAGGTCTCCCATGGGGGTGGCAGGGACTCAAGTAGTTGAGCCATCACTTGCTGCCTCCCAAGCTCATTAGCCAGAAGCTGGATCAAAAGCAGAGTAGCCAAAGCTCTAACCAGACACTCCAAAATGGAATGTGGGCATCCCAAGTGATGGCTTAACTTGCTACACCCCAGTGCTTGTCCCCATTTTAATCATTTTAAGTCTGCACAGTCCATTAGCTTTTACCGTATTCACAAGTGTGCAGCCACTGCCACTATTTAATCTCATAAGCCCTGAAGATGAATGGAAGGGGAGGGACCTCATCAAAGTAAGTGAAAACTCCCACTATACCACACACTCTGGTAAGCAGTATCCTCACTTTGTACTTCCTATTTACAACATTTTTTTCCTCCTAAGGGCAACAAGGCTATAAAAGACAAGTTTTGCTTCATGGAGAGTTTCATTTATTTATTTATTAATTCAACTTCATTCATTCAGCATGTTCACCATCTCTTTTAGGCCAGGTCCTCAATTACTGCTGATGCTACAGTGATGAATAAGCGAGCAAAGCACTATCCATGGGGATCTGCAGCAACAACTACTAATTAGTTACTATTGCAGAGGTAAGAGAAATACAATGAAGTCGTGGGTCAAGTGCAATTTCTCTGAGAAAATAGTATTGAAAGTGAGTTTGGGGGCTGAGAGGGATTAGCTAGGGAAGTGTAGCTATGTGTGAATAAAGCTAGGGTGAGAGGGCCACATGAGTGTCCAGAGGGTAGAGAGAGCAGCACGTGGTAAAGACTTCAGTGGAAAGACAATGATGGCTGTGGGGATCCACAGTCCAGAGTGGCTGAAGCCTCAGGAGCTGTGGAAGAGTGGAGTAACACAGCAGCAGGTGGAGGAGGCAGGAGACAAGTTACACAGAGCTTTGTAGGCAGTGCTGGTGATTTGAGACTTAAAAAAAAACTTTAAGAGGCAGAGAGAAGGAGAAGTAGATAGATAGCTAGATAGATAGATAGAAATAAAGAGTGGTGTGTGTGTGTGTGTGTGTATCTGTATGTGTTCCCATCTGCTGGTTCATTTCCCAGAAGCTTGCAGTGTTTTGGACTAAGCTAGGTCAAAGCCAACAGCTGGGAACTCAATCTGAATCTCCTATGTGGGTGCCAGAAGCCATTTATTTGAACCATTATCTCGAAGGGTATGCATTAGCATGAAGCTGGAGTCAAGAGCTGGATCCAGGAATCAAACCCAGGTAATCCTGTTTGGGACAGGGGTATCTTAGCCATAGAGTAAACACAAGTTCCAATATTTGGGACTTTGTCTTCACAATAGAAATCCACTGAAAGGGTTAATGCTGAGGATGACAGGATCCACCAACTGTGCAGAGACCAGTTTGCAGGCCATTACAAGGTGAAAAAGGGTGGCTACTTGGGTTTGGATGGTGGTTTTGAGTTTGGAGAGGAAAGGAATTTATGACATTTTGGAGGTGGAATAGACAGGGAGGGAGAGGGACATCCTAAGGATGGCATGAGCAACCAGATGGGTAGTTGAGATAGGATACTCTGGGGAGAAACAAGTTTGGAACAAAAGATCATAGGTTCAGCTTGGAACAAGTTGGGTTGGAGGTACCTGTGAAACATCCAAGTTGGTACATCAGGTCAACAGTTACATAAGGATGTCTGACAGCTCAGAGGATAAGCCTGGGTCAGATATATAAAGGTAGGAGAGATGGAGAGTAACCATGAAATTGACCTGCACACAGAGATATCACAGCAATTGATATGCTTGACCAGACTGTTGATTGCCTGTCATTCCCCCTGGCTCAATGATTCTCAACTTTGTCCTTCCAGGACTTGTGTACCTCACTCTCTGCAGTCCTGTCTCTCCTTGTCTACATCAACTCCCCCAGGTCTATAGGCTCCTTGAGGGCAGGATGTCTTGTTTTGTGTCCTCAGGTCCAGGACACATTTTAGAAACCCACTAGGCGGGGGGGGGGGGGGGGCACCATGGGTCACTTGGTTAATCCTCTGCCTGTGGTGCTGGCATCCCATATGGGTACCGGGTTCTAGTCCCAGTTTCTCTTCTTCCAGTCCAGCTCTCTGCTGTGGCCCGGGGGGCCAGTGGAGGATGGCCCAAGTGCTTTGGCCCTGCACCCACATGGGAGACGAGGAAGAAGCACCTGGCTCCTGGCTTTGGATCAGTGCAGTGCTGGCCATAGCAGCCATTTGGGGGGTGAACCAATGGAAGCATCCATGGAGGGGTGAACCAATGGCAAAGGAAGACCTTTCTCTCTGTCTCTCTCTCTCACTGTCCACTCTGCCTGTCAAAAAAAAAAAAAAAAAAAAAAAAAAAAAGACCAGATGTGTGTATTAGATATTACCGAGGAAGGTGTAAGGCCAGTGCTTCAGCTCAGTGTTTGCCATGACTAAGGGAGATCAGATGCTAAATCAGGAGACCAAGTATCCACAAACCATTAGCCCTAACACTCTATGGTGGCAAAATCTGAATGTTTAAAAATAATTTCCAAGTTATGGAACTGTTATGTGACCTGACGGTTCACACACTTGGTCTGAATGACAGGGCAATGTAGAGATGGGAAAACCCAGGGGATCAGAACCCTATTCTCAATTATGCCAGCCTCATTCTGCTCTTACTCACCAGTTGGTAGAACAGCTGCACTCTTCCTGTGTCTTAGCAGGCTACATGTGAGGTCTACAGCATGCAACCACTTGTTGGTTTAGCCAGCAACCAAACCAGAAAGGATGTGGACAGACCTTATTCTCCAGCAGAGGGCAGTGCCACATATAAATTACTAAAAAAGGGAGAAAAAGGTAAGCAATGTCTGTTGTCTATTGCCACATATTTTTTGTTATTGATATTTAGTGCACAAAACAGGTGTTCATATCGCTTATCTTTTGAGTATTGGTGGGAATTGTTAGTGCAATTTAAGACTTAACAATTTAGAAATGTATACTTTTTTTTGACAGGCAGAGTGGATAGTGAGAGAGAGACAGACAGAGAGAAAGGTCTTCCTTTTTGCCGTTGGTTCACCCTCCAATGGCCACCACAGCTGGCATGCTGCGGCCGGTGCACCGCGCTGACCCGAAGGCAGAAGCCAGGTGCTTCTCCTGGTCTCCCATGGGGTGCAGGGCCCAAGCACTTGGGACATCCTCCACTGCACTCCCTGGCCACAGCAGAGAGCTGGCCTGGAAGAGGGGCAACCGGGACAGAATCCAGCGCCCCGACCGGGACTAGAACCCGGTGTGCCAGCGCCGCTAGGTGGAGGATTAGCCTATTGAGCCGCGGCGCCGGCCTGAAACGTATACTTTTAATCTTCCTTCCTCTTCCTTCCTTCCTTTTTTTTTTTTTTTTCCTTTTTTTTCAGATAAAGTTAGTGAGAGAGAGAGAGAGAGAGGGAGAGAGAAGGGTCTTCCTTCCATTGGTTCACCCCCCAAATGGCCGCTACGGCCAGCACTGCGCTGATCCGAAGCCAGGAGCCAGGTGCTTCTTCCTGGTCTCCCATGTGAGTGCTGGGCTCCAAGCACTTGGGCCATCCTCCACTGCCCTCCCGGGCCACAGCAGAGAGCTGGACTGGAAGAGGATCAGCCAGAACTAGAACCCGGTGCCCATATGGGATGCCGGCACCGCGAGTGGAGGATTAACCAAGTGAGTCATGGCGCTGGCCCCAGAAATGTATACTTTTAAATATGGTGTGCTTTATTTCCATCTTCCTGTACCTGTGTGTGTGTGAATGCAGCTCTGTTTCTCCTTCCCTTTTGTGTGACACTCTGCTACTAGAACCACACAGAATGCACATCACATACAGCTTCATCAGGAAACGTTATAGACGGGAGTTTTGTTTAAGAGAGTATATCCGGAAACTTAACTAATGAGGTTTTATTTCCTAATAGCAAAGAGACTTTATCATAAGCAGTTTAGTTTTACAGTATGACCAACTTAGCATGGACCCTTTCATACAGAATTATGAGGAAAGCTCCTTGGTGTTACCTAACTTAACTTTTAACAACTCTTTGATCGATTAATTTTAAATAATTTCCTTCTATCCCACTTTCACTTTGGTAAAGTATCAACATGTTTAAACTATTACAGTACTTATTTACTATAATTTAAGTAAAATTATTTTGGTTTATGATAGAACTGACGTATCTGTATTTCAGTTGAGAATTACTGTTTGATATTTCTGTATGTGACACAGATAAAAGTCATCTGACATTTAGTCAAAGTCTAGAGTCTGACTGAACTTTAATTTTAAAGATCATTTGGTTAAATTTCTCTCTGTTTATATACTCAAAAGAATGAAAAATTCTCATAAGGTAAATGCCAATCAATACAGATGTCCATATATGTAAATAACTGTGTAGTCAGATTAATATGGCAAGTTTATATCAACTCTCCTATTTAAAAAATAAAAAATCCTTTTCTGTCCTGGTACTTCCCCATGCAAATATAACAGGAAAGAAAAAGTGATAGCAAGTGCTGGCGCTGTGGTGCACTAGGTTAATCCTCTGCCTGTGGCGTGAGCATCCCATATGGGCACCAGTTCTAGTCCCAGTTGCTCCTCTTCCAGTCCAGCTCTCTGCTGTGGCCCGGGAGTGCAGTGGAGGATGGCCCAAGTGCTTGGGCCCTGCACCCGCATGGGAGACCAGGTTCTCCTGGCTTCAGATTGGCACAGCTCTGGCTGTTGCGGCCATTTAGGGAGTGAACCAATGGAAGGAAGACCTTTCTCTCTCCCTCTCTCTCTCCCTCTCTCTCTCTCCCTCTCTCTCTGTAACTCTACCTGTCAAATAAATAAGTAAAATCTTTAAAAAAAGAAAAAGAAGAAAGAAAAAGTGATAGTGGTGTTAAATAAGGTGGTGCAGGTGATTAGCAATCAGAACTCTGCGAATGCTGCCCATGGAGAGGAGTGGTTGGTTACCATGGTCAGTCTCATGGTTTTACTGCTATTCCTGAGTTAAAAGACCAAGGAGCCCATTAAACTCTGCCATTCTGATTTGTTTGAAAGTGGTGTCTTATTTGACACTTTAACTTTAAAGCTCTTAATTGGTTCTTTTTTTTCTTTATTTTTTTTTTTTTTCTCTTTGCAGCTATCAGAGCCCAGCCAGATCCATCCACAGAGCGCAGGCTGAGTGCTGCCAGCATCAATTTTTTTTTTTTTTTGACAGAGTTAGATACTGAGAAAGAGAGACAGAGAGAAAGGTCTTCCCTCCGTTGGTTCACCCCCTAAATGGCCGCCATGGCCAGAGCTACGCCAATCCAAAGCCAGGAGCCAGGTGCTTCCTCCTGGTCTCCCGGGCCACAGCAGAGAGCTGGACTGGAAGAGGAGCAGAACCCGGTGCCCATATGGGATGCCAGCGCCACAGGCGGAGGATTAGCCAAGTGAGCCATGGCGCCAGCCCGGTTCTTTTTTTTTTTAACTTTTATTTAATAAATATAAATTTTTAAAGTACAACTTTTGTATTACAGTGGCTTCCCCCCCATAACCACCCTCCCACCTGCAACCATCCCACCTCCCACTCCCTCTCCCATCCCATTCTTCATCAAGATATTCAATTATCTTTATATACAGAAGATCAATTTAGTATATACTAAGTAAAGATTTCAACAGTTTGCACCCACACAGAAACACAAAGTATAAAGTATAGTATAAAGTATAGAGATCCTACATGGGCAGTAAGTGCACAGTGACTCCTGTTGTTGATTTAACAATTGACACTCTTATTTATGACGTCAGTAATCACCTGAGGCTCTTGTCATGAGCTGCCAAGGCTATGGAAGCCTCTTGAGTTCGCCAACTCCCTTAATTGGTTCTTTTAAAGAATATATTTATTTATTTATTTGAAAGTCAGAGAGTTAAGGAGAAGGTGACCCACAAAGAGAATCTTCCATCCACTGGCTTACTCTCCAGCTAGCTGCAACGACCAGAGTTGGACCAAGCAGAAGTGAGGGGCCAGGAGCTTCATTCAAGTTGGCAGGAGCTCAAGCACTTGGGCTATTCTTCACTGCTTTTCCCAGGCCATTAGTGGGGAGCTGGATCAGAAGTGGAGCAGGTGGGACACGAACCCGTGCCTATATGGGATGTGGGTGTTGCGGGCAGTGGCTTTACCCACTATGCCACAATCCCAGCACAATTGGTTTTATTTTTTATTCTAGCATTGGGCAACGCTTCATTCTTTAAAATAGAGTAAGTGCTTCTTTGCTTGACATTTTTGGTCAAACTTGAGAGGTAAGTTCCACCAACACTTAGGAATAATAGCTATGTTCAAGATGTGTATGATGGTATATTCAGTTTAAAGTCTATTTTGAGTCTGGAAGTTTGAGGTTGGAATTTTCGAAATAGGCCCCCACAGAAGCAGTCCAAAGAGGAACCACATTCCACCAGAGCCAGATCACCAAAGGCTTTTACTTCAGAAATGTGTGAAATTGAACTTAGGTTCACCAAACCCAACCACCACACATTATAGTGCTTCCCCAAGGAATTTTTCATCTCATGTTCCAGACTTTGAATATTTGGGAATACTTAGCAATAATCAGGAATATTTCAAAAATTTAAATGTTGCTGCTGTAGTCCCATACAAGGGATCTTGAAGGCCACCTCCTTGGCTGCTGTTCAAAACCACTCAGTGTGGCCTTGCGGTTTTGAACAGAGCAAGGCTTCTGCAGAGCTGGGACCTGGGCGAAGAGCAGAAGTGGCTGTGGGCAGCTGGTGGGGGAGGGGATGGGTGCTGCCTCAGTCCACCCTTCCTCAGGACGCCCTTTCTTCCTGCAGCTCCTTTTCCATTTGTCAGCCTGAGGTGGGGAGAGTCTAGGAATGTGGCCAACCTTGCCCTCCTCCCTCCACGGGAATGATGGCTGCAGGGAAAGAGGGTGGTCCCCCCACCTGCTCTTCCTTCTTTTCAGTTTGGGGAGGTCAGAGACCCAGAGGTAGGAGGAAGAAGGAGCAGGTGGAGGAAAGGGAACAAAACGGGGTTTTCCCTCCCTCCTTCCTCCCTCTCTTCGTCATCGCCTCCATGGTGGTCACAGATGGTGCTGCCCTGTGTTGTGCTGAGGTCACAAGTCTGCCTGGGTGGAGATGGGGGAAGGAAGGGAACTTCTGAAGGCACCTGGCCAGACAGCAGTCAGTAAGACTTCTGTCAGTCTGGTTCCCACTCCTTACATCCCAGGGGTGGCAGGGGAAAAAGGATGCTGGCCACTGGCCTGCAGGGGTCTGGCATCACACAACTGGCCAAATAGTCACAATTTGCATTGCTACATTTCCCTCAAACGTCAAACGCCTTCTAACATTTTCCTACAATAAATTCAAGGACAAGTGAGGGCAGGTTGTAGCTTAGTGAGAGTGTGATCTGTCCAATTAAGTTCCTAGAAGACGAGAACTCCCCCTGACAAGTTCTGCACAGTGCCTGGAACCTGACTGACGGTGCATGTTTAACAGTTGCCACCATGAACATCAATTTGCTTAAGAATCTACTCTTTAAAATCTACATTTTAATTTGGCTGTTGCTTTCAATACATCTGGCAATAAACTGCACCTTTATTGACACATCACCCAAGGAAGTTGAACTGGGTGTGATTAATGCCGAACCAGAAGTGATGTGTAAACCTCTATAGTAGATTTTGGTAGTTTAGAGTTTACATTTGGTGGTAAAGTTGGCTTCATGTATTAGCAAACAATTATAGTTTAGAAAATAACTTTCTTTTGAGCTAATTCTCATTGTTCTGTTGCAATCAGTGTGAGTCATCATTTCTCCTTATTTTAATCAAGGCCTTATACAGAATCTCCAACTGCCTTAATTTTCTAACAGCTAAAGTCAAATAGTATTTTATGGAATTATCAGCCAAATCAAGGCTTTGCTTCTCTCTTCCCTTTTCCTAAAAGAACCTAGAAAATTTTGTCTCTCTAATTGAAGTAACACCTTGACAGTAGGGACTCTATTTTAGAGCACCGAAACTCCATCTTGAGAAAGCGTCCCCCACCATGAGACTATGGTCTAAAACTTGAGACAGTAACAGTACATTGCATCCCACCTGGCAGAACATAGAAACTCCCTAGCATGATTGCTGAAACTTAAAACGGATAGGCTGCACCTGCATTAATGTTAAGATTGTAATTTGTTTATTGTCAAGAATGTAATTGATATTAGTTCGCATAGGCCTTAGGTCAGCTTGACCCTAGTAACCATGTATTCCCCTTCCCCTTGTGTTTTTGCCTTTATAAACCCTGTTGCTTTGAGTTTTGGGGTCGAGAGTTCTTTACGGCGTGAGCATGCTCTCCATTGCCGCAATGAAGGACTCCAAAGTTTATCAGTGTGTGGCACTCCTCTGTCAGCACTCGCTCAGGCACAACATAATAACAAACTCTCCTATCCCCACATTCTCTCTCCCCAGAAAACTATCAGATAAGAATATTAGATATTCTCTGAACAAATTTTTCTTTTGGTTTAAAATCCTTTAAAATTTGTATTTCAATGAATACCTTCCCTCCCAGTATCAACATTAAGACACCCCTATCCCAATCTTGGCAAGGCTGCTGGGTGTTGCTATAGAGTCCTGTAGTATCTGGGATAGTATGTGCTAGAAGCAGTGGGCCAGGTGATTTTTATTTATTGGTTAACTGGGTTTCAGGGTTGAAATACTTAAAGTTAACAATTAAATATAAAAAGGATGAGTAACAAAAGGGCATTTCAGGTACTCTGTCAAATACCATTCCCATGGCCCTTACTGACCTACTAACTCCTGAATCTGTCCTCTAAGAAACCATTGCCTTTTGTATTTCTTTTAAAGGTATTTGAGCAAATGATATTGTTGCTGCTTCATAGATTATAAGAGTTTTTTTGGGATAAAAAAAGTGGTACATACCATTCTGTATGGTAATGCCACATAACGCCAGCATCCTGTTGAATTTACCTAAATACTTTACAACAAAAAAGTAACAGGCCAACAAAATAGGTAACTTTTCTTTGTTTTCTTCAGTGGGAAAGCCATTGATCACTATGGACCTTATGTGTGATGATGAATATATGTTTGGAGCCATCAACAATCTCAGTTCCTGATGAAATCTTCAGCAGTATTTAAGGGAGATAATACTTTTATTTTCATCATCATATGAATCCATTTTGACTGTAGGCTTTGGCTGCTACAGGAACTTAAAAACTTCTTTCCCAACTCCAGATTCAAATATTAAATTAAAACAGATGTGCAAAAACCAAGAAACAAATATCCACCACCAAAACAAAATCTACCCCTCCACAAAATCACCAGCTTTGGGGAAAACTAATGTCCACAGTTTCATATCATTATTCTACACTCCAAAAAGGACAGATTCACATTCCTCTTTGACCTGTGGTTGTTTCAAAGTCCAGAGAGGCCAATGAAGGAAGAAGAGGGATCTAGAAGTGCCTGGAGTAGTCTCCACGCTCCCGCTTGGGCCATTCCTCTTCTACCCACCTGCGCAGAACCTTCTCCACGTCGGCCCTGTGGTAGAGCCTGCAGAGCTCCATCAGCTGGCCCACCGTCCTCTGACTATTCCGGAGCAAGAACTCCAAGGTGGGGCTCTGTGGCCTCTGTTCCAGGAAACACAATTCATCATAGGGCATGCCCCATTTGCTTGCAAAATTCCTCCAGTTTTTTACTGTTGGGTGACATGGATCCAGCTTTATCCTGATCACATCTAGTAAGTCCTGATCATTGAGCAAGTCACTTATGGTGGGAGCCCGAAGTGAGCAGGAGGAACAAGTACAGTTTTCATGACAGGGCTTGTCCTTGCTGACATCTGCAGGAAGAAACAATACAGCCCACATGTCAACAAGAGGCCTAATAAATGCATTCATTTCTGATGCCCTTGATTTTCCAGCCAAATTGTCAGTAATATGAGTCTAACAGCATAACCTTGTAGAGGAATCACTCAGAACAGACATATAATGTGTTATTCTTCATAGCTCAAAATGAGTTGCTTTGTAATAGGATTTTTTAAGGCCAGTTCTTCTTTTTTCTGTTGGTTCACCCTTCAGTGGCCGCTGCGGCCGGCGCACCGCGCTGATCCGAAGGCAGGAGCCAGGTGCTTCTCCTGGTCTCCCATGCGGGTGCAGGGCCGGAGCACCTGGGCCATCCTCCACTGCACTCCCGGGCCACAGCAGAGAGCTGGCCTGGAAGAGGAGCAACCGGGACAGAATCCAGCGCCCTGACCCAGACTAGAACCTGGTGTGCCGGCGCCGCAGGTGGAGGATTAGCCTAGTGAGCGGTGGCGCTGGCCAACTGTGTCTTACAGCATGCAATGGCTAGAATGAGGGCTTTGAGCAATAGAGCTCTAACAGGGCCTCCAAGGAAGGGAGCCGTCTCTGTGAGCAGATCACCAGATGTGCTCTAGATGGGGCCAGACTCTGTAGAGCCCACAAATAGCTCACAAAGGCATCCTCAACCCTTGCCCCTTCCAAGTTACCAGTCAGCTCTGATAGCTTTTATGTTGTTTATTTATTTTTACTAGAAAGGCAGAGCAACATTCACAAATACACACACACATAGAAACAGACAGTTATCTTCCATGCACTGGCTCACTCCCCGAATGCTTGCAACAGCCAGAGCTGGGCCAGGCCAAACCCAGGAGCCAGGAACTCCACCTGGGTCTTCCATATGAAAGGCAAGAACCTAAGAACTTGGGCCATCATCTTCTGCTTTCCTGGCACATTAGCAGGAAGCAGCGAAGCCAGGACTCAAAACGGCACTCTGCTATGTGACACAGGCATCCCAAGCAGGGGCTTAACTTACTGCATCACAACACTTACCTCCTGACAGCTTTTTAATACCAGACACAATGTGTTAGGGTGTAAAGGATTGTACAATTCTTTAAAAGGTCCTTAAAAAAAAAAAACCCAAAACTGGAATATCCATGCCATATGCATATTTGAAAAGGAGTGATAATTGATAGTGCCAGAAGACTTACTTTTAAAATTTATGGCCATGTTATCATCCCTATGCCTTTATCTGTGTTTTCTTCACCCTTGGGCTCCCTTTGAAGTGGAGCCAACAGCCTGGGGTATGTGCAGTGAGATGAAACAGTTAGAGGACAGCAGCAGGCTTCTGAGCTGTGCCTCACCAGGGTGAGCACACTCCTTCCCGGGAGGGAGGGCAGTCTCTGACACCCAGTCATCTTTAGCCTCATTTTACTACTTGGAGGTATGTTAGTAGAAGGATGAAGTTAGTAGGTAAGAGGTGCTGGCAAGTCATTTAAAATACAGTATTATGCAGCATCTATACAACATGGTAAATTAAGCAGTTCAAATTCTGCAACCATGCTGAATCTCATGTATCTTCTAAATTTGGATTTTAAAAAATATTATTTATTTGAAAAGCAGAGAGGAAGAGAGGGAAAGAAGGAGGGGAGGAGAGAAGAAGGGGGAAAGAGAAAGAGAGAGAGAAAGAGAGAAGGTGGGGGAGGGAGAGATCTCCCATATACTAGTTCACTTTCCAAATGCCCACTACAGTTAGGGCTGAGCCAGGCCAAATCAAGGAGCAGAGAACTCAGTCCAGGTTTCCCACATGAGGGAGAGGACCAAGTAAATTATCCATCACCTGATGCCTCCCAGGGTGTGCATTTGTAGGAAGCTGGAATCAGGAATGGAATGGGGCCTTGAGCCAAGGCACTCTGATATGGGATGTGAACTTTCCAACCAGTAGCTTAATCACTAGGCCAAATGCCTCCCCTTGATTTTGGATTTTAACAGCCAAAGAGATCACTGGCTTGGAAAATTCCAGGGAAAGTTATGATGACCTTCATTATAGATGACATTACATTGAGTCATGGCCTTTTCAGTTAAGGAAAATAAAGAATTTGGCCAGAGGCCAGCACAATGGGTTAAGCTGCTGCTTGTGATGCCAGCATCCAGTATGAGCACTGGTTAGAGTCCAGGCTGCTCCATTTCCAATCCAGCTCCTGGATAATGTACTTGGGATAGCAGCAGAGGATGCCCCAAGTACCTGGAACCTTGCCACCTACATGAGAGACCCAGATAGAGTTCCAGGCTCTTTGCTTTGGCCTGGCCCAGGCCTGGCCACTGCAGCTATTTGGGGGTTTGAACCAGCAGATGGAAGATCTCTCTTTCTCTGTCTCTCGCTCTCTCTCTGTTAACTTTGCATTTCAAATAAATAAATACATAAATCTTAAAAAACAAGAATTTGACCAGAGGGAGTCACTTTGGTTATGCTAAATTTGCGAACCAGCAATTCTGAGGCTTGGATAAATGAAATGGTAACAAAGTAAGAGCTGTAAAAATTGTGTTCATCCTCTTTGACTTATAAATGTGACTTATGGGAGTCTAACCTAAAGAGGTAACCCAGAATATATATCTATGTGACCACTTTTAGTGCAGCATTATTTATATTATCATTTTAAAAATCAGATGTTGGGGCTGGCGCTGTGGCATAGCGGGTAAAGCCACCACTGCCTACAGTGCTGGCATCCTATATGGGCACCGGTTTGAGTCCCAGCTGCTCCACTTCTGATTCAGCTCTCTGCTATGGCCTGGGAAAGCAGTAGAGGATGGCCCAAGTCACTGGGCCCCTGCACCTGCACAGGAGACTCAGAAGAAGCTCTTGGATCCTGGCTTCAGATCGGGCCAGCATGGGCCTTTGAGGCCACTTGGGGAGTGAACCAGTGGATGGAAGACCTCTCTCTCTCTACCTCTGCCTCTAACTCTGCCTTTCAAATAAATAAATAAATCTTTAAAAAATTAGATGTCTAGAATAAGGAGACTAGTAAAATAAATTAGTATATTAGTTCATGAAATATTAGACTACAGAGCAGCCTAGAAAATGGCTATATGTGAAAAATATAAGATATAAAGATTATATGTATTCTGTGGTTAGAACTATGTGAAAACTCAGGTTGATTTTACCATGGAATGAAATGTGCAAAAATAATAACTTTTGTGTTAATATAGTATGATTATGTTTCTATTTTCCAAACTTTCTCTTCTAGTGTTACGTTTCTGTGACAATTAAAACAGATTACATTACAAATGTCTTGTTTAGCTTAGCATAGAGAAGACTTTTCAGTGGAGCAGTCAATCTCTGTGCCAAGCTATGGTCACACCTTTGAGAGTCTCCCTGCCTCCCCCTATGATTTGCATCACTAAATAATCTTCTTTCTTTCTTCTCATCTCAGCTACCCATCTTTACTGATTCTCTCCCCTTTGTCTGCCAATATGTACACCTGTCCTCTATCCTAAAACATAAGAACAACTGTAAACTACCTTCTTGTAGTTTAATAACATTCAGAAGCCATTTTATCTTTTTCTTCTTTTATTCACTATTTTTTAAATTTTTTTTCATTTTTAAAATTTTTATTTTATTTTTTTGACAGGCAGAGTGGACAGTGAGAGAGAGAGACAGAGAGAAAGGTCTTCCTTTTCTGTTGGTTCACCCCCCAATGGCTGCTGTGGCCGGCGCACCGCGCTGATTCAAAGCCAGGAGCCAGGTGCTTCTCCTGTAGGACCCAAGGACTTGGGCCATCCTCCACTGCACTCCCGGGCCACAGCAGAGAGCTGGACAGGAAGAGGAGTGTCCGGGACAGAATCCAGTACCCCAACCGGGACTAGAACCCGGTGTGCCGGTGCCGCAGGCGGAGGATTAGCCTAGTGAGCCGTGGCGCCGGCCTCTTTTATTCACTATTAAACTTCTAGAATGAGAATTCAAAACCTGCTGCCTCCAATGCTCCAGCACATTCTTCTTCAGCATCTTCTTTGCCTTTGAGCAACATCTGACCCTGCCTAGTTCCCACCAAACCTCATGGAGACTGGACCTGGTTCCCTATACCCCAAATACTTGCCTGAGTCCAGTTATGACTGAGCAGAAAAATCCACAACAGGGAAGCAGATCCCCACCTGCCTTAGCAGACCACCTGGACTCCTGTTGCTGCTAATATTACCCCAGGATCTGGCTGCCTCTGGAGCCAGTCCAAGACTTCTCTGCCCCTTTGGATACTGAATACTACACTGCAAGCTACGTCCTCCCTGAGGGTTTCTTCTAATAGCCAAGCACTTTCAGGTCTTGGCCACGTCCATGCCCTTGTCTGCTTGGTGTGCTGAGATCCCAGCCCTGTCTCATAGCCACGTCCTTGGGAATGAAAGGGAGTGCTGTAGTTCTGTTCTTGGCCTTCAGGTTTCCCCTTCCACATTTTCTCCATTTGGTGATCTCCTTCACTCCAACAACTCTCTATATGGTTCTTCCACTTAGAATGCAGGGGCCTTTCTTTTTGCCTGTGCAGGACTTGGCACAGCCCTTGTCACACAGTAAATGCTTTATCAATGTTTACTGAATGAATAAATGAATGCATGAGTGAATAAATAAATCATTAGCCCATCAGCTCTTCTGGGCTCCATAACTATTGGGAGCCCCTCTTTTTAAAAGATTTAATTAATCCAGTTGAGGCAGAGAGACATATATGCAGAGAGATAGAGGGAGAAAGAATTAGACATACAGATATAGTTCCCAATCACTGTTCACTCTCTAAATGCCCACAATAGTTGCTGCTGGGCTGGATCAATGGGAGCCAGAAACTCAATCAAGAGCTTCCCTGTGGGAGGCAGGAACACAATTACCTGAACCATTACTGCTTCCTCTCTGGCTCTGCATCAGTAGGAAACTGTAATTAGGAGCCAGAGGTGGGGACTGAACGCAGGCACTCTGATATGGGACACTGACCTCTTAACTGGCGAGGCCAAACAGCTACCCTGGAAGCTCCTCTTTATGTCCCAATGATATATCCAACTCAATTAA